CAACATCCTTCTCTAAATTTTACCCTCGGGTGGCTCACCAAAGGGTGGGTCAACTTGGAAGAGCAACATCCTTCTCTAAATTTTACCCCTGCCCACAAAAGGGTGACTCAAGTTGAAATGGCAACATCCTTCTCTAAATGTGAAGGCATGAGTGGCTAAGTCAGCAAAGAAAGAAGTAAGTAAGTGGCCAGGTTAATGAATGAATGAGTGAAAGAAAGAATGAATGAATGAATGAATGAATGAATGAATGCATGAAAGAAGGAGTGAGTGAGTCAGTGAGTGAGTCAGTGAGTGAGTCAGTGCGTGAGTGAGTGAATGAGGGAGTGAGTGAGAGAGTGAGTGAGTGTGAGTGAGTGAGAGTGAGAGTGAGTTTGAGGCAGCACATCCGCGTGTACAGATGAGGCATCTCACGCGCGTGTACAGACGAGTCACCTTGCGCGTGTACAGACGAGGCGCTGACCCTTTTGGCCTCCCAAAGGATCAGAAAGGACCCTCATAGCGAAACATTGCCGATATGGATCCATATGATTAGTACAGCGAAGGTGTTAGTACCTCCCCAAGAACCGCCTAGCCAGAGCCAACCGCCCCCGCCTGATCGAAGAAGGTGAAGCGCCGTTCCGGCACCACGCCGCTGGTCACCAACGAGACCGCCCGAGCCGCGCCCGTCGAGGAGGAACCCCTGGCGGAGGCAGCGTCAAGTCTGACGCGGCCACCGGCGGTTTCTTGTTGGAAGAAGGGGGTTTGGTGTAACCGATGTCAAGCTGACTGTAGCATACTTATACCATCCAAAGGTGGTCTTATAGCATGTCAGCATGTCTCAGCTAATGCTGTTTTGTTGCGCGAGTCGGGTGCCATTTTCTATGGTGGAAACCTACGCACTGGAGGTCGTTTGTAGTACCCGTAAGGCACCCCTATCACCGCCACATATAGGACACCGTCTCCTGGATATGTTGGATCCTGATTTGTAAGAGGATCCTCTATAATGCTAAATTGTCCAAATATATTTCTGGACACCATGCTTTTAGGGGTCCTCTAATAATAAGATGCTATTCATTTTTGAGCTCCTAATCTTGTTCTTATCTGAAAAGTAATTAGGGCTTCAAATCCTTCGGAGAAGTGTGAATACTAAGTCAATGACTGGCCTGCTGAGATTATTGATAAGTATATAGGTTTCTCTAGCTCTTCTTCAAACCCATTCTTCGGAATGCCGGGCGATTCCTTCAAAGGCCTATGTCTGGAAACGGACCCGCATGACACGAACCAAACCGGACACGACATGACCCATCATGACTCATCATGACCCTATAATACCCTTATGCATAGACCTAGAACCTCGTTAGGCAATAATGTCCGCCCAACGCCATTTAGGCAGAAAATTCAGCCCGTTTTTGCAAAGAACACCTAAGCTGCAGCCTCGAGGGTCAAAAACGCCGAGGCACAATCACATGTATTCTTACATGCCGGAGGCAGAGCCAGAAATTGAATGAACAAACATTGAGAAAGCAAACACTTGCCACTTGACGCAAATCCCCAGTCTAACGTTATTGAAACTCATGCCGCTCACTCCCCCCAAAAGGTTACCATTCTGTTGTCCACCCAACTGTTAATTGTAGTGAGGGGGGAACGGGCAAGAACGCCCAAGTAACGGGTAAGAACGCCTAAAGTGACAGGAAGAACACCTACGCAAAAAGATATATTAAAGTGCGAGTGGATCTTAATCAGCGAAGTTTGAAGCTATCACTGACGGTCCATAAGCGGCGTAGCGTCGGAACGGAAACCGCACCTTTTCTAGTCGCTTGATCCTTGAGCCAAAGTACATATGGTACATATATATGTACAAGTTGCACTGTACGTGTCGCTGCACTTCCATTCGCACCCCCCATGTGAACGGCAACAATATGTTCCGATCACACACGAAAATTTAGGGATGTAAGTGCTATAAAGAAATTGTATGATTTGCCGCGAGACTCATATGAGGCTCATACTACAAAACATGCTGGACTAAAGCGGACTTTTACATATAAAGTGTGCAACTATGGCTCAGAACCTTTGAAAAATCGAATTGAACAAGTGAGACAGTCACGAGGCCTCGCTCAGTATCCACTCAAAAGAGCATCGCTTTGATGTAGATCCGACCTGGTGACTTCCACGTAGATGTCACATCGGCAACTGACTTCACACTTCTCAAAAGATGTAGGTTCTGGTTTGGATACACTTACAGAACGGCAAGTCGGAGAGACAGTCGGTGATTGTCTTCCTTCTATTATGCTCATGGTATCAAATCAGATTGATGATTTGCAATGATACACTTACAGCGTTTCAGGTCAGATAAACATCCGGTGAATGATTTCCTCCCTGGTTTGCATGGTATCCTCATAGTCGTTCAAAGAAATCACCACTGGTGATAACCTCTCCATCCACGATGATCCCAGCTGCCCTGAGCATCCCACCGATCATCTTCTCCCTTCTTGGACTTTCCCTTGGACTTGCTCTTTCCCTTCCCCTTTTCAGAAGGTTGAGGTACTTCGCGACGTTCTTGCGTTAGCGCCGGCCTCCAAGATGTTCCAGATTGGCCTCCTCCTTTGGAATGTCCTCGGGATGATGAAGAAGTTGTACCTTCTGCTGCATGTGCATTGGCGGCAAGATCTTCCTGCAAAGCTTGCTCAAACACACCGGTAGCACTGGATGGTGATTTATCATGTGGTCTGGCTTTTGGAGCAGCCTTCGCCTTGTTCTCCTCTGCTGATGAGGGCCCGAAACTCTTAGGTGCTGTTGAAGGTTTTGGCTCCTCACTTGGTGCTGACGACGGCTTGGCCTCGGTTCTGGGTGTAGATGCTGGCTTTGCCTCAGCTCTTGACGAAGATGCTGCTTTCGCTTCAGACTTAGTCGTTAATGTTGACTTATCTGTTGCCTTGGCTGCCTGCTTCTTCTTGCCCTGAATCTCCTTGGCCCTATCTCCAAAGCCTAGACGATTGGTAAGAGCTTGAACATGCTTATGTTCTACCACGCTCATCCATCTCTCTGTATGTCCAACGTTGGGGTTTCTGGCCATTGACTCTATGACTTCCTGAGCTTGTGGGGGCAACCTGATTTCATGTTGATCAATGATCAACAGAATAGACTTCTCCCACTTGCTCTTCATTCTCGAGTACATGATGTCCAGAGGATCGATCACCTTGTGGTAGGGTGATGTAATGTCGGTTCTAAAGTAAGAATATGTCCGACACCCATAAATCGCATGGATGCACTTCTGTACCAATTCAGTCATTGCGCTGGCTTTCTTCGCTTTCAACTCCTCAAGCTGGGCATCAGTCAAGTTGGTGGAGTATTCGAAGTTGCCATATTCCTCCTTGAAGGATTGCGGAGTATGACCAAATGATAGGATCACGAGTGCCACCTTGCAAATGAATTGCTCTCCTCTGAATCGGTGCCAGGCCTCCTCAGTTGTAATATTGTTGTTGCTGGCGAAGATTAACATCATGTTATCTGTTGGATCCAATGGTCTCCCATCGTCATCGATTTCAGTGGGATCCCCTGTACCGAACTTGCTTATCACATCCAGGCGCTTCCTTTTCCAATTTGCTTTGAAGTCGGTAAGGCTGGTGCAATAGTAGCTCTTGTACATCAGGGAGATCATGTTCAGCACACATTTGACCACATACCTATCCATCAAACCCGATGCATTCATGGAGACGTCCTGACAGTAGGCTCTCTCTTGATGCGCATAGATTCGAGGTTCCGGTACTCGACAATAGATGGGGAGATCTTCGTTGTCTCTTCCTTCTTCGGGATTGAACTCGGTCGCTCCATGCTGTGCATAGTATCCCGGTTCATCACGATCTGTCGGTCGATTCGCCTCCGGATGTAAGTCGTCGGTGACGTCTTCATCCTCGGGCTCACCATCTTGACGTTTCTTCCCCTCATATTGTTGTGTGCTCCTCTGGATCTCGATGATCACGTTTCGTTCGTCTTCATCTTCTAGATCAGAATCACGACCGTAGTCGATCTCGTCCTCATTGAAAGATGGGGTCTCGACATTGTCACTCTTGAAGTTTTCTGCACCATCAGACGGTTTGGAAGGATCTGGATTATCCATGTCCTCGTCGTCATCAGCTGCTTCAGTTTGAGCGATGTCTTCTTCCCAAGCCTTTCTGATCTCGTCCATAGTGGCCTGGTCCAATATATCTTGATCATCATCTTCAGGCTCCTTCTCTTCCTTCTTTTCCTCTTCATCGTCGCTCACAAGATCAACGGGTGAATCGGAAATGACAGTGTTGCGAATACCACACGAGAGTAGCCTGCCTTGACAAGATAGACACACGGACAAAGATGAAGAAGTCAAATGCATACATGATGGACACAAAATATTGCCATCCACGTTGCGATACCCTTCACATGTTCTGGAGATGATTTCGTCCCAAGTTTCCTCACTGATGGAATCCTCGATCAGCTCTCCATTGTCATCGAATCGTACTTCATCGATAAGGGACACGAGCTTTTGGACGTTGTCATCTGTCGCCGAGGCTGACTTCGTGACTTCGTCGGCTCTCTCGAGGATGGTATGCTTCTGAGCAACCCAAAGTCCATGACGTGCCGCTAGAACAACTTGCTCTCCAGTGCTTCCCAGCAGGAGTCTCCTCCATGCCTGAACGTGGTCGTCCCAATACCAAGCACCTCGTACACATCTCCATGGAACTTCTCTAAAAACAACAGTGTAGGAATTCTCCAAAATTCTTCCCCCAAGCTTCCTCAAAGTCATGATTGGAACATAAAGGCAAACGGGCATTCCCACTCTTGGCCATCTTGATCTCAGAATCTTTGATGATCGATCATCCCACGGCGCAAAGTGGTTGAAGAAAACACTACCTCTATATCCATCCGTTCCACCAGGGACAATTCCTAGTTTCATGATTGACTCAATATTGGAAAGCGATGTCATGTGAAAGCTTCCTCCAAGCTGCATTGCCACATTCTCTGGAATGAGATGTGAAGTCCACACAGGATATATTGACACATCCTCTTCAAGAACAGTCTCTCTTCCAGAATTGTGAGAGGCAACAGCTCGAATTGCACAAGGAGCGATCCAACGTTCTTGCTTCAGAAATGACGGTGCGTCTGTGCCGTAAAACATGAGGTTTGCCCAGTATTGCCTTTCCTCTTCGAGTGAGACATCCTCCTTTGAGATGCGAATGGCGGCAATCTGATAGCGTACTCTGTTCTGCAACTTCTTCGCATGCCACATCGCCTTGCATAAATACTGGTATCGCTCTGTCTTGGTATCTTGCTCACGTTGAGTACCTGAGATAGTACTGATATTGACACCATCGTTGAAGACATGATCATATTCCAGGATCTCATCGATGTTCACCCATCCACCCTCATTGCACTTCGGGGACACATGAGGTTTTCGACCGCGGTGCGATTGAATCCCATTACGCTTTCCCACTCCATGCCTGAGTAGTCTATTGAGTCTATGGCTAATCTCGTTGACCCACTGACTCTCCTCGCTGAACTTGTCGATGCGAATTGCTGGGTTCATCTTTGGTGGATCCGTGAAAGTTGCATCTCTCTTCGGTCCATTCCAGTACTCCACATAGAATGTAACTCCATATTGTGGAATTATCTCGATGTTTCCTCTATCGCAAGCCACCTCAATCTGCCGATATCCTTCACTTTGGG